CTGCTCCCCAAGATCACAGACGCGTATCGGCTCCAAGCTCTGGACATACAACCCCCAAAACGAATCAGAATGGGCAGGGCCCGGCCCAGTCCCAAAAAGCCTCGAATAAAAATCGTGCTGGGGGTGTTGCTGGGAATGCTAATGGTCGTCGTGGAGGCGGTAATCAACGTGGTAGGGGCAAGAACGACGCATAACAAGATGAGAAGAAGGCTTTCATTCTCTCGTTGGCTTTTCTATTTGTGACTATTATTTTTAGCTCTCCAGATCCTTCCTATTGTACATTTTCGGCTTCCATTCCATTTCCACCTGCTTTTGAATTATAGTATCGGCGGTTCTTTCATTGCGAATCTCCGACCATCTGCTCACACCCTTCCTTTTCTTTCGCCTATTCACCATATGCACTCTTCTTGCTTATCAATTTAGAACCTGTTCGAGCACATACGGAGCTTTATCGAAGTGCTGGTCACTTTTAGAAGACTAGTATATACTGATATATATCTTACGTTAAATACAATGAAAGATAGCAGCTACTAGAAACTACCGTTACCGATACTATGTACGTCAGAGGTGGGAAGGCGAAAACGTAGAGACGTATAGTAAGAACCGATTAATAGTCTTAGAGATTACAGTTTGTACGCACTAACGATCAAAAAGAAGGAAGTTGTATTAGCGGAAAAGACAGACATGCTTCTAAGTAACTATGTAACAAGGTAGATCCACGCCCTAAGCAGAGAAGACTCGACAATAAAGGGCAGTTGAAGAGCAGGGAAACAATAGAAAAACACAAGCAATATAACTAATGGACTAGTACATATCTAGAGCGATAAATCACGATTATTCAGGGAAGAAAACCAAGGTGGGGCGTTGAAGCAATGCAGAGGGCAAACATGGGAGGGGACAAGCAGGCCAATACGACTGAGGCTCATCGCGAATCTTGGCTAACTTTCTTATAGCACCTAGCATGGATCTAGCCCTCAGTTCAACTCCCACTCAGGGACTATTGTTGGGGATAAGGTCAATCATCCCCACGACCCCTCTTAATTCTTCAGTGAAGAAAGGTTCCACCCTTTAGCAGTAGAGATCCGATTTGTCGTCGAAACGGCAAGCTCCGTGTTGCCAGCGGGTGAACAACTGGGTCTGTTAGCTCTAGGGCCTTCTGCAGTGGTGTTTTCAAACTTACGTTGACGGTGCCACCATCGCCTTGAGACCAGAAGGCGTTGTTTCTGCCCATGTAGAAACAGTCATAGCTGGAATCAGTTAGTATTTCATTGTACATTCACGTCTACTCCAAACCTACTCGGTTGACGCCGGCCAAACAGAAAGCTTTACGCTGTGTAGGCCATAAATCCCTTGCGAATCCTTGACTCCATAGGCCTTGTTGTAGCAGATTGCAGCCACGGCTGTCTTGGGGTCAGGGTTATGGTCCATCATACCCTGAGTGACTGGAAATGAGTTGTTAGCACTGGATCTCCAGTGAAAGGGGTGTTTGTCCTTTTTCTTACCTAGCTGGGTATACTGTTCCCTGGACTAGTTGGGATTGTCAGTTTCCCGTCATATAATGGCAGAAGTAACAACAAAAATGCAGAGGGAGAACAAAGAGAGCATTCTTTTTAGTACCTTATCCCAATTCTTAAGACCCTTCACCTGGTTGACAGCGGCAGCACCAGCAGCATAGATTGCCTGCCCGTATCCGACATTGCTAGCACTGTGGGTGTTCAGGCGCTTGGCCAAACTAGCGTCCGTCTTGGACTCCTCCAAAGCCTTTTTGAAGTCGTCGTCAAAGGTGTTCCAGTCGGGCTTGAAGTCGTCAACTACAACAGCAGACGAGCTGTCAAGTCCATCGGGAGCAGGAGCAGCGGCGGCGAAGCCAAGCAGAGAAATGAAAACGACCTGGCTCAGATGCATCTTGCCAAGTTGATGAGAAGAGTAATTGTGAAGTAAAGAGAGGGTTTGTAGTCTGCTGCTTGGGCTGCGAGGCCGGTATTTATGCTACATTTCTTCCTATCGACTCCAGATGTGCAATACCGGCCCTGGGCTTTGGAAGCTCTTACCGGAACCCCCGGATGAGCGATTTGCAAATAGTATCTTCTTCAAAAGGGGCGAAGTAACTCCGTGGAATCTCCACGTGTTGTAGTGTGGGCGAATAAAGTTAAGTGGTTGTCTTAGGCCGCTACCAATGTAGCCTAGTTTAGGTTAGCTCCATAGTTAAATTGAGCGTAAAGATGGCTGTGGAGAACCCCAAACACCACTAAGCCACGAGCGAAGTGAGACACCAGATAGTTAGTGCCGATCCTTTGGAGAATCGAGATTATACAGGAATCTCCTTGCAATTCTCGAACTCACGATGGTGCTTCGAGGTGTCTCACTCGTGAATCACGTCACGAAACTTGTCCTATTAGGGGTCGTTATATCTCATCTATGTCCAATAAAGTTATCGTGGGACTGGTAAAGGCCTCATTTCGGCGGATCCCAATATCCCGCTCGATGTAAGACACATACCTAGGCACCTACCGTCGGCACCTGGGCACCTGGGCACTGTCTTCCGCTTACTCATAACAAAAGTCCATCATATTGATCCATTTCATCCCCCATTTTCTTCCTCGAATATGCTATATATATAGTAAGGCTGCTTCCTTCTTCCCGTCACTCGTCGTCTCACCTAACCACGCGACCTTTTGACTACCGACTTGTTTCGACTCTCACCAGCACCTTATTATATCTACCTGCTCTAGTTTTCCTGTCCGAAGACATGAAGCTATCAATTCTTATCTCTAGTTCGCTTTTGTAAGTTGCCTTTATTTTATATCCTAGGTTCTCAAATTGTGTACTAACAAATCCTCCAGCTTCGGGGGCGTTCTTGCTGATCTACACAACTTCTGCGCCTGTGGCAAGCGTAACGGTAAAAACGCTGTCCAAGACGCATACGTGAGTATTAGTATAACTGGTCAATTGCAAGGTTACAATAACTAACTTATTTTAGTGGGACTTCGACACCGCTGCCTCGACTTTTGCATGCACCCGATACCGGAACCGCAATACAGGCACTAAACAATTTGATCAATGCCCTGACTGTGAGGACTCCGTTCCCGAGCAATTAACAATGTACTCTTCTAATCTGAGATTAACATGCAGGCAAAATGGACACATACGCTATGGATGGATGGGCTGGTACTCCTTCTTGCTTCTCCTTCGGCTTCCATATGGGTGGGGATGAGTTCGATTACTACTGTGGCTTGAAGGGCTTGCAAGGATACTGTAAGAACGCGGAGTAAGATATATTATACAACATACAGTCCTACTGCGAAGGCAATTACAACTAGTACTACGTATATTCAAACTAAACTCTAAGCCTTCTAACTCACTCCGAGTTCTACTATTATAGTTAGTTATACGTAGGCTAGCCGAGGTCATATAATTCTCTATCTATATACCTCCAAGGGATCCTATGGATCCACTTTGAGTCCTACGACTCTCTCTGGGAGAGTGGGACATGACAGCTTAAACTGTTATATAGTATAACAGAGGTTAGCGGGAGTAGTCTAAGCATACTGACAAGGTGGTATATGTAGTAGACACATTGCAGGCTTAGAATTAGCCAATGAACCTATTTTTAGTAGCTAGGCAACATAGAAATAAGGATTGGCTTGTTCATACTCTAATTGTGTTTACTAGCGAGATTAGTCCTTGCCGTCTTTTGCTCACTGAGTTGATCTGAGCACGCCCCTAAGCGCCCGTATCCGCTCACTGAGCATTATATACATGGTGCAATATAGGGTTGAAAACAGGGTATTAAAACATGGAAAATCCTCAAACCGCCATGTTAAAGTATGACGTGTTATTGATACATATATTACAACCTCAGTATTTGATAGCTTTCCCTGTGGAGGAACTCTACGAAGGCGCAAACAGGTTCTGAGTAAGAGTCTGGGTACCTTTGGTTTTCTCTCATCGGCGTCAAATATGTGCTCGAGGGAGTACATAGCCATGCGAGTGCTTCGACCAGAACGAAAAACCATCCAAGACCTTCATCTTGATGAGCAAATTTAGTTTACCTTAGAAGTCCTTATGCCCATTTTAAAAGGTATTAATTTTATTAACCTTATAATCTAGGTCTTCAGACATCTTTAAGCATCGGCAAGCTTCAGTTAATAACTACAACATTAGTTTCTATAAAGTGACTCCTAGTAATATGAACCAATGAGAGACTCGGAGATAATTACGTGCCCATCAACGACATCGAGAAGGCAAAGCCTCACGCAAACTCCAGGAGTACAAGGCGTTCCTAGCCGGTTACGATGTGTTGAGCAATCTATGGAGTTAGATTACTACTATATGTGGGAGAAAGCACAGGAAGAAATTGTTGATTGATCAAACTAGAAATGTAGGGTGTTATATATACCCTGCTAAAACCATCTAAACATTGCTCAATTGTAGCAAACAACAAATAGCAAACAAAAGAAGGCTCAGTCTGTAGCAAACATGCCTGCAAGCATAGGATATTGTTCAACACGACGCATTCAAAGCGACTGAAGCCAGCGTCACAGACGCATCACAGACGCAGTGACCTAGCTCGACACCGCTGTCAACGACCACCCCAACGAGTATTCCAGAACTGTGCTACGGAAGTGCTTCAAAATACACGCGAAGAACGTGGACACGGCCTGTTATGGGATAGTCAGCTAACCGGAGCCACCTGGACATAGCCAGCTATTTAGAAATATCATCATTTTTCCACCTTCCATAACACCGCCCAAAAACCCAACGTGGAAACCCCAGAGTACTCGGGACCAGCGGAGACCGGTGTGGAAAGGTCGGAGACACCAGGGCAATTGACCTGGATATTTAAGCCATTCCCTTTTACAGCTTGTATGGATAACTTTGATTTTTCGGTTTTTAGTGTTTGTTTGTTTTTTTTTTTTTAAAAAAAAAAAAGCTAGAATGTACGGCTAAGGCCGGAACAAATGATGATTACCATAACAACAATCCGCATGATATTCTCTTTAATCTGAATACTTAGGTTTTTCCCACTCGGGAGGGATCACATCCAACATGTTTTTAAGTCCTCCCATGGTGCGGTCATCAAAAAGTATTTCCTGGTCAATAGTAACCCTATTTTCACGAATTTGGACAAGCCACCATGATCCGAGAGCCGCCGCCTGATCCCGAACTGTACGCAGATTCTGCCTAGGTGTATTCCACTTGACTGGCAACGAAATACAGTGGTCCCGCAGCCCATGCAGTGGCTGGTGGGTCAGGGCGGTTTGGCCATCTTTGCACTTCCGAGCTACAAACAACATAATTGCTTCGTCACTATGGGTGCCATTCCTTGCCTCTGGTGGGAGTATAACACTTACCCAACAATAGCCCTCACCATCATCACAAGGATCCGGAATATGGTGCTTGCGGGTTACGAAGGGACTTGCTTGCACACGCATGTCGCTAGATAATGGAGTGGATGGGGTTGAGGATAATCTTTGGTAGGAGAAGACTGCACTCTGCTATATAGTCTCTTGTTCTTCGAGAGAGAACGCTGTAATCATGTATAGGACCAATTTATGATGGCCTGAAGAGAGAGCAGGGATTTATATAGTAAAATATGAACAAAGAGCAAAACCTCAAAGAATTCTCGCTACTACAATGGTCTTTTGTATTAATAAAGAGATCTGTGATATATAAGTTTAGTTTTACCACCCGAAAATGGTTACTACCAGTGACACAGCGAGATTCTGCAGCCTACATAGGATTTCTCACCATAATGGTCCCAGCAGATATTTCTTATTGTTGAAGCATCGTCCCATGTTTGCTTGATTGCTTGTTTCCTACAGACTGAGCCTTTGTTTAGATGGTGTTACCAGGGGTTATAATCCCCTGGATTTCTAGTTATAATAGATTATCATTCTTCTTCTGTTTTCTCCCCTACTTAGTAGTAATCCATACAACACTTATTAACCACATCGAAGGATCAATTCCACAGCTTGGCGCTCTATCATTCCTACACCATTTGGAAATCTAATTTCCGACTGGGCAGCGAATATCACAAGGTGGATCTGGTGTCGGTGGGAAGGATTCCACGATATTTCCGTGGCCATCCGGTCCGGGATCCAGTGAGTAGTGGTGGAACATACTGGGTGGGGGACAAATTATAAGAAAGAATAAAAGATACGTTAAATCAAAAATGATGGAAAGAGAGCTTCCACCGCTGTTAGATGACGCTCTGCATCAAACCAAGGGCCCCAGACATTTAGATACAACCTATAGTATATTTTCCATGAACAACAAAGGATAATTCCAAGGTTCCTTTTACTTCCACCAATCGGTCTTAGATGCTATTCTATTCTATATATTTTTCTATATATTTTTCTATATATTTTTTACTTCCAAGCTTCAGCCTTACCAAAAAGGGAAGTGTCATCTGCTTCTTAACATCCTGCTCGGCTCAACACATGGCTTATCTCCCAATTCCGAGTATATTGAAAACGAAGAAAGCTGAAGAATGCAACCCAAGCTCTTTCATGTGAAGGAACAATATGGAGCTAATGACAGCCTCTTATGCAGGAGGCTGCTTCTTGCAAGATATCCTCCGCACAATGAGGGGTAACGCTAAGGCAATATCGGGTTAGAGCACTCGTATACAATCAGTTGAGTCTGTCCTCATACGGAATATGGAGACAAGTCATGTTTATTATTCTAACCCGACGCGTATCCATAACGTTTCCATTGGAGGATGGGCAAGATTTCCCCAATAAAATGTCTCACTAATCAGCCTCGGATATTGCATCTAAAGGGCTTTCCTACGCGTGAAGAACTTTCTTTGTGCGGGGCTAACGCCGATCCTTCGCGAGTTTGAGATTTTTTTTTTGGGCCCCAACTTCCATCGAGAGGTTGAAGATAAAATAAAATAAAGGTAGATAGTGAGTCTATTGAATAAGTTTATTCGCAGACCGGTCAACTAAGTTCATGTATTCATGCTTCTGTGGGAAAAAGACATAATACTAACTTCACATCAACAAGTGGATCTGTAGGGCATCAGACAGATCATGCATTGCCCCGAACTGCTTATGGAGTCTCCGGATAATCAGGGGCAATGATCGTCGCCCTATTCACCAGCCTCGGTAACATATCCGTATATGGATCACATTCTTGGGAAGAAAAGGTATGTACCATGTTTAGATGTTTAGATCGTCCGAAGTATATAATGTGAAGAGGATCCCTTTCCTTGTCCAGTTCCAGTATCACAGCCCCGACTCTCCTCTATCGAGCGGGGAAATGGCATTGCCCCTTGCACGCATGGTGCGCCTTGCCCTGGTTGGGCTGATGGCATTCAGTTCAATTGCCTCAGCGCTGCCTGCTCAGGTCTCTCGCAGCACGGTTCAGCCTCCCGCCACAGATCCGTTCTATCAGCCGCCTGCTGGCTACGCTTCCAAGGCGCCTGGGACAATCCTGAACCAACGCGATATCACTGCGGCGTTCTTTGGCATCGTTCCGGTTGATGTAGAAGCCTATCAGCTGCTTTACCGCACGACTTCAGTTAATGGCTCGGCCCTTGCAACAGTTACCACGGTGTTCAAGCCAAAGAACGCTAAGCTCGATCGTCTCGTTTCCTTCGCCACGGCCTACGATAGCTCTGCATCGAAATGCCAGCCTAGCTATGCCTACCAGCTCGGTGCGCCACAGGACAGTTTGATCGCTTCGGTCGAGCTATTGATCATTCAGATCTACCTTGCTCTTGGTTACGTCGTCGCTTCTCCCGACTACGAGGGACCCGATGCTGCCTTTGGACCGGGTCGTCTCGCAGGTATGGGTGTATTGGATGGTATCCGGGCCGTGACGAGCTTCAAGACCTTGGATCTCACTGATAACCCCATGATTGCCGGCGTCGGATATTCAGGCGGTGCCATTGCTACCGGCTGGGCCGCCTCTTTGCAGCCCAAATATGCGTCAGAGTTGAACATCAAGGCCTGGGTGCAGGGTGGAACTCCCGCCAACGTTACTGGCACAATGTATCAGATTGACGACACAGCCTTTAGTGGCTTGCTTCCCCCAGCTTTCGTGGGTCTCTCAAGACCAAGCGCCTACGGTGCTGACCTGGCCCCTTTCTTTGACAAGGTCATGACGGCAGAAGGTCAAAAGATACTGGACAAAGCCGCGTCCCAATGCTTCATTGAGGATCTCGCGACGTTCTTTGAACGATCAATCTTTGACACTAGCTTCCAAACTTTAGGCAAGGATTTCATCTTCGACCCGATCGTTCAGTCGGTATTGAAGCAGAACAGCATGGCTGTGAACAAGGACGAGACCCCGACAGCACCAACACTTGTGTACCACGCTACAGATGATGAAGTCATTCCTTATGCCGATGCCAACACTATGGTTAATTCCTGGTGTAACTGGGATGCAAATGTGAAGTTTACTACGTATGCCAGTGGTGGTCACGCGACCACTGAAATCATTGCCATTCCCGAGGCCATCCAGTTTATCAAGAATGCCTTTGCTGGCACGACCGAGAGTGGCTGCACCACGAGTACTGAGCTTGGTGGTGTTCTCAACCCGCTTGCTCTTGGTGCGGGACTTGAACCTATTATTATAAAGCTCATTGATGCGTTGACCCATTTGGGTGATCAGGACTCGAAGTTCAAGAGCGATCCCGTTACGGTGCTCAAGACAATCCTTTAAGTGAATGCTCGCATCTGCTACCATTAAACAGAATGGCCAGTGAGGGGTTGAGCCCAAATTTTGTGTATATTCTTGATTTATATAGCTGTATATTTGTTACTAATTTGCTCTCCCACAGTGTCTTGTGTGTATTTTGATCATATTCTGCAATCCTTTGTTCATGGGAGTATATATCTTTTTCTTTCAATATATGATGTTTATGATCAACAATGGGGAAGTCAAGCTTTCCTCTATATATATATATATGTCTATGCTAGTATGTAGTAGAATGATGTTATGACGTTGGATCAGATAACGGTGTAACGTGCCAAAATAGAATATGGGGAAATCTTAAGAAGATCTTTATTATATGTTAACGGGTTTACTCATCACCTGATACCTAACCCCCAGGCCATGTAACTATATAACTATGTAACTATGTAAATATTTTAATATCACGCCTTGTAAGTCGTGATTGCTTATGTGCTTATTAGGTTCCCAGGGTACCTTGCCCGGGTATGGCGATCCTTGCGACCGTGCATAGTAACCCGGTTTGTACAACAGCCTATCTCTGAGTAAAAAAAGGTAAGAGAGATCTAAGTAAAACATGAGAGATAGAGAGAAAAGAATAAACCAGAATATAGGCAGCAAACCCCCATGTTTGCATCATCTGTGTGGCGTTCTAGGCTGACTAGGGCACTCGAGACCTGTCGAGTCACCGGATGTGCGTCACAGACGAACTATCTTCATTATCACACACACCCCTTCTCTCTCTTTTCTCTGTATCTTGTCTTGTTTCTCATTTCTTTCTCACGAGCTTTCTTATATTTCTCTTGCTTTCACTACATCTCACACCGACGATCTCATCCAACTGCATTTACCCGTGCGGAGAAGCTCTAGCCCTGCTCCGAAGGTCCCAGTCCGGAGTCACCCCCAGACCACATGCTAGCCGCCCATTGTCTTATCGTGAATCATTTACCGTCTCAGGTTCAGGGACATACTTAGAAGAAATCATTCTCCTCTTCTGTTAGCATGGCCCTCAGTCCTGGAACCATCGCTGCCCGATTGCGTTCCTGATAACAGATTCCGGCGGTGATAACACTCGTATCCAGCACCTCCCTGGACCCGCTCCATCAGGGTAATACCATTCTTGCCTTTTGTTCACATGTATGTCGATGGTCGCTAACCACGCTTTCGCCACTAGCCGCCCACCATGCATCAACATCCCCGATCATCGACGGCGCCGTCTCCGGTGCCTAACTTTCCACCCAGACCGACAGCTGGGGACGACCGCAGAGAACAGGAAGCTACCCCGAGCTCCCCAACCGTCGACACGGGGTCGAATTCTGCCAGGGGGTTAGGGATAGAGCCGGGACCTCAGCCGTCCGAGCAGGGGAGGAATGCGGTACTGGGCAAGGAGGCCCTGACCCGGTTGAATCAGATAATATCGGTATCGTCATTCAGATCGCCCCTCCAATGACTTATCAGGATGGCTTATTGATGGCTAATCCCATTTCTAACAGAACTATCACACAAAAGCCGCTTTGATTATCCTACATTCACGAGTTGCACTACCTGCCTCCTATAACAAGGGCTCTGAGTCCCCTAGAGTCAACCGCTGGGTATGTTTCCATCTCATGGTCGGATTTGTGATGCTTCATGGGACAGTCAAGCATACGGAAGTTGTGAAAGTGGTAGATGCTAACTCTGTTTATTTCGGTCCAGTTCAACGTTGAATTGGATGATACAGATATCCTTCGGGAACCCCTGCGACCTTGGAGAACATGCGATGCAACGGACAATCGACCCCCACCCCTCGTCATCGAAACATACCTAGACACAAAATCTCTCACAAATAATCAAAGTCTGGTGATTCTCGATGAGAATGGGAAACGTTGGGACGTGCGCGAGTCGCTCGCGGCGCTTGAGGGCGCCCGTGCAAAGCCATACCAATCAGAAAACGACGAGATTATCTTGGAGCGGTGGAGAATCGAGCTGGGAGGGTCCTCAAGCAGACCCCCGACAGATTTGGGCTCTATCTTGCCGACTGTGTATAAGAAAAGCATCGTGCTGTTCCGATCCTTATTTACCTACTCCAAGTTCTTGCCTGCATGGAGATTCTCGAAACGCAACAAGAAGTTGCGGCAGAGTCCAGCTCTCCAGATCAAGTACCGTGTGCTAGATGGGAGCGCTGCCCGTGATGGCCTCTCACTGGATCATTTGACAGCTCCGTTGAGTGAGGGAAGCGAAAAAGTGGTGGACACCTACAGCTTTGGGGTTACGGAATCGCCCGCAGGTCCCTTTTCAGTTCAAGTTACGTATCGGACGAACTGCGATTTCCGCGTTGATGACTCGGAGGCGCTGCTGAGCTCGAGGTTTATGGGTGCTGACGACGAGATCTTTCGTCCATCGTTGCCTTCAGATGATGTCAACCGCCCAAATCCTGAAGTCGGTTCTGTGCCAGTGGAGAGAAGGACCGTTGAGAATCCAGATTGCACACGTGCATATGGCAGTCTCTCGACCTTCCATCAGGTTGGCCCAACAACAGGTGCAAGCCCTATATCAGCACTTCGTGCAATGAGAGATTCGGGCGCGGGATCCCCTTCCCCAACAGAGTCACCCAAGAGACTCCTCCCTCCTGCCAAAGTCCATCCTTCAGGACGTGCTGCGCAGATTGCTGGTGAAGGTGGAGGCACAAGTTTCTCGCGCCGTCCCTCCATTTCATTCCAACCCTTCAAAGCTCCCCCTCTTTCCGCTTCCCCGGCTGTAGCAGACTCTCCGTTAGGAGTCTCTCCCCCGCAACATGTCTTCACGCATCCCCACAGGAACATCTGCCGATTCCCGCGTCATGCCGCCCCCTTCTTCTGCCGCTTCAGCGCGCAGACCCGTAACCATTACATCCGAACAAGCTATATCATCCTCTAATTCCGCATCCCCCAAACCTGCTCCTATCTCCCGGTATAGCAGCTCCTTTAGCCACCGACGAGGCCGCCTTTCTGCAGGGGCAAACAGACTGGAAGATGACAACTCCAGCGGTCGAGCGAGTGCGACATCATCCAATGCACAACCCGGGTCCGGCCTACTCACGGAAGCTACAGGCACGAGTGCAGAGTCCATTCAGGCCGATGACGAGAATATCTCCGATTTTTTGAAGATGCTCGATTCGAAGAAGGATCTAATGAATATGTCCTCTTCTGAATCTATTCAGCCTGGCCCTAGGCAGCCGAACCCCACCGCAGCAGCTCTTGCTCGCTTCCGCGGTATGCGAGATTCAAACGCCGCGTTGTCCGATTCAATGTCACAGTCCATGCACATGCAGCGGTCTTCCATTTCTTCGAGCAAGCAACTGTCAGGAGTCCCACCGATGGTTGCGGGCACCTCCATCTCCACAGCTTCTTCTCCAGGGAAACCTATATCCCCCCCCACACCCCCACACCCCCCCATACTCCTGCTATCCGCTCCCGTCTGAGCTCAAACAGCGTTGCTGATGACATTGAAACCGACCACCGTGCAAGAATCCCTCGCATACACCATGACTCGACGCTAGAAGAACATCCCGGTACAGAAAACCCGCGAGGGCCTTCCTCTACCGCAGGTGCTATTGACATCCCAACATCGCCGCGGATTTTCGACCCTGCTTATCGTCGCTCGAGCTCTGCAGCCGTGCGCCGGCCGATCGTTACAAGCGAAGATGATGAAATCTTCCCATTTGGCATGCGCAGCCTTAGTCTGGGTGCCGATGAGCCCCCAAATGTCACTCTAGGTGTCGCCCAACAACAGAATGAGTCCCAAAAAGCCCAGCAATCCCCGGCCGAGGACCAAAGCGGCCCATCCAGCTCTACAGCGGGACCGTACCGGGAGAGTGCATCCCCACGCGGGCAGATGCCTGGACCAACTAGCGCCTCAGCCTCCTCCAACCCCCATGTCTACCAGCCACGGTTCGCCAGCACCCGCGGCCGGGGCTACTCGGGCGGACATTCCCTCAACTCGGCATCCAGCAGCTTTGCCCGGGGCGCCAACCTCGCCCCGCACCTGACTGAGCGCGACCAAGACCGCGATGGCAACGCTAGTGGAAGTAATAGTGGCAACTCTACGCTAGAGATCCGACGCGGTTCTGCACAGCGGCCAGGCACAGGTCGGACGCTGTCCGGACAAGCGCCCGAGGACGATGAGCCGCTGCTCTTTGCTATGAGCGACTTCGGCGCCTCGCGGCGTAGCCTGGATGAAGGTAGGCATGGCAATCACGGTGGGGCTGAATCGGCTGCTGGATCCCGACGTGGCAGCGGAAGACGGGGAGCAGGGCTCCCGGGTTTCCATGTTTGGTCGTAAAGGATGAGTATATGTGGGCATTCCAGTCAGCCCTATTCTTTATTTTGGTTTTCTATTCTATATTAACTATCTTGGTCTCCAGCTCTTCCCCCGCCCACCTCTCAACATCATTTTTATTTGGCGACTGGGCCTCTGTTTGGTTCAATTCTTGATTCTTGTTTTGCTTTTAAACCATTTCCTACTTGCGCGGTTGGCTGATTTCATAGACTGAACACTCCAATCACAGATTGATTACTGCGATGTGCATAGAGATTGGGTCTTGTTATTGTTTTGTGTTGGGCGTCTTTGTTTTCTTTTTCTTTTTCTTTTTCCTTTTCTATTTCTTCTCTCACTTTCACTTCACTTCACCTCACTTTTGAAGTTCTGGGAGTGCTTTGCTCATTTAGCATATTCCCTACACGATTGATACGACTTGATGGTTTCTTGGGGACCAGCGCTTTTTCTCCTTATGACTATATGATTTTTGATCTATTTGATGATGTTGGTGGTTCTACTTGGTAGAGTTAAATTATCTATTAAAAAAATTGAAACACTTGTTCGTATTCGTTGTCGCTTGAAGAGACAAACTAGAAGCAATACAAAATCACCACTGGCATACCGACAGACAAAAACAATAGCACGGTGGAAGGACAACTGAACCAGGATGAATGTGTACGAGCAGTGGACGTCAAAGACCCTCCACCCCTACGGCCGCGCTGTGGAGGGTAGCGGGGGGGCAACTGCGCTAGGATTAAGAGCAGGGCAGCCCTGGAGTCTTAGATAACAAAGGGAAGAGAAATGGGGAGAGAGAATATGATCTGAAGAACCAGGACTTTATAGGCCCCCAAACGAGGTTTCAACTTGGCTAGCATCCTAGATTTAGCTAGTGACACCGAGAAAGACAATTATGTCTATCTACATGGCTCTAGAGCAGTTTATAAACCTTGTCATATACCGCTGCAGTGACAATCGGTCCGATTGTCCCCCTGATCTTCCGGCCAAGTGGTTAAATTCTCTTATGTAATCACCAGGTGCCAAGGTGCCCAGGTGACTTCCGGTCTGGATTACATCAGAGGGATGTCACCATCACGTGGCTTAGTCACTCGATCTCCAGGGCATAGCTCATGTGTTCACTGGGAAGCGGCGCGGGGGTTTGTTAACATGAGGTTTAAGAGAGGCACCAAGGAGGTGATAAAACTGGCGAGTCCACTCGAATATTACCTTCTGGGGGAGAGGGAAGTTCACTGGAATCAATATTCATTCCACAAAATTGGCAAAATTTGGCAAAATTTGGCGGTCCGACCTCAAAGTATTATCATAACAAGTGTGTTCTCCTACAGTTTGAACGCATACTTTATACGTCGTAATAAAGGCTCACTTAAATCATAGACAGCAAATAAACACGTAGAAGAGAAAAACAAGTGACTTCGTTACGGACCATGGGCATTCCATGGAGACATCTAAATACATTGAACATCCAAATTTTTTACCCTGTTAACATACCTCAACTTAACACGCTTATGCGATGTAGGTCGAGGCTGACACGTCACCACCACGGCCGGTCCAGTTAACGTGGATATCCTTGCCCTCGGGGAAGGTCTCGTTAGCGTTCTCGGGCTTGATGCGGAAAGTGTGGGCACCGAAGTAGTCACGCTGGGCCTGGAGCAGGTTGGCGGGCAGGTTCTTAGAGCGGTAACCGTCGTAGAAGCTGAGAGCAGTGGAGAAGGCCGGAGCGGGGATACCCCACAGAGCGGTCTTGCTGATCACGTTACGCCAGCCGTTCTGGGCGTTGTTAATGGCCTTGTTGAAGAAGTCGTCGAAGAGCAGGTTCTCAAGGTCGGGGTTGTTGCGGTAGGCATTGGTGATATCCTTAAGGAAGACGGAGCGGATGATGCAACCACCGCGCCACATGAGGGCAATGGAAGGCTTGTTCAGCTTCCAGTTGTACTCCTTGGCGGCCTATATTGGGGACGAGGTTAGAAAATGACTATCAATGAGGCTGGCAAGAAAAAGAAATACGTACGTTCTGGATGAGCATGAAGCCCTGGGCGTAAGAGATAATCTTGGAGGCGTACAGGGCCTGCTCAAGGTCATCGACGAAAGCCTGCTTGTCGCCCTCGAACTTAGGAGTGGGACCGCTCAGGATGCTGCTGGCGCGGCCACGCTCATCCTTGAGAGCACTGAGGCAGCGAGAGAAGACAGCCTCACCGATCAAGGTGACGGGCATGCCAAGGTCCAGAGCGTTGATGGCGGTCCACTTGCCGGTACCCTTCTGGCCAGCCTTGTCGAGGATCTTGTCAACAAGGGGAGTGCCATCGGTGTCGTTGTAGTAGAGGATATCACGGGTGATCTCGATCAGGAAGGAGTCAAGAACACCGGTGTTCCACTTGGCGAAAACATCACCAATCTCCTTGGAGGAGAGACCGACACCGCGCTTGAGGATATCGTAGGCCTAAATGATGATGTCAGTGGTTTGCCCGAAAATATTTTGCTTGAAAGTAGCCTTACCTCGCAGATCAGCTGCATGTCACCGTACTCAATACCGTTGTGAACCATCTTGACGTAGTGACCGGCACCCTCGTCACCGACCCAGTCGCAGCAGGCCTCGCCGTCGCTCTTGGCGGAGATGCCCTGGAAGATGTCCTTAATGTGGGGCCAGGCCTCCTCGTTGCCACCGGGCATGAGAGAGGGTCCGTAACGGGCACCCTCCTCACCACCGGAGACACCGCTGCCGACGAAGCTGATGCCCTTGCCAGTGAGGTATTGAGTGCGGCGGTTGCTGTCGGGGTAGTGGGAGTTACCACCGTCAATGATGATATCACCCTTCTCGAGGAAAGGCAGAAGGGACTCGATGAAGTCATCGACGGGCTTTCCGGCCATGACGAGGAGCATGATACGACGGGGGCGCTTGAGCTTGGCACAGAACTCCTGGACGGAGTGAGCACCAACAATGGACTTGCCTGTTGTATAATGAGCATTTTTGGATAAAGGATTGGAACCTATTATTGTCTGTAGAGCATACCCTTGGCCTCGTTCTCCAAGAAACGGTCAACCTTGGCGGTTGTACGGTTGTAAGCGCAAACGGTGAATCCGTGATCAGCAACGTTGAGGATCAGGTTCTGGCCCATAACGGCCAGACCGATGAGGCCGAAATCAGCACTAGGAGCAAAGTGCGCCGGAGCGCCGACATTGATGCCGGCGAGACGGGCGCTATCGTCAGCGATCAATGTCTCTTGTCAACAATAGGGTACAAATCACAATGGGAACAAAAAGGAAGGGAAACCCGTGAGCTTCCGGGGAAAAAAAAAGATCAGAGACTCGCAGTAGCATAGCTCCAATGGTATCATCTTGCCTGAGCATCTATAGGGATTCGATCTTCCAAATAGAGCTGATGCATGATGTGTGAGCAGCATTGAAGATCTATGCGCTCTGCTATCACTGCAAGCTGCAGGGAGGTGTAACCACTTGGAATTGGCGAAGGAAGAGGGGAAAAGGTAGACTTACACAGCTTGGTCAGCCATGACGATTATATGTGAGATATGAGGGTATTGATGAAAGTAAAGGTGAATCTAGAGAAGAGAGGAAGATGAAGAAGGAGGGGAAGGGAAAGAAGAAGAAGTAGCCCCAACCGGCTGACGGAGCAACTCTTCCGTCATCTGTGGTGGGACATACCGGCGGGGGTACCATGTACCAACGTCGTTCTTACTGTCTCCGGTGTGGCGCCAAGTATTAGGTACAGGAGCAGAGTCGTCCGGTGTCAACCCACTCGGGTTCTGTTGTAAATTTGGAAAGCCGGACCGGGGTTTTAATTCCGTTTATTGCTATGTTGTATATTGTATATGCATCTTTCTGTTTGGATTTTTCTTTTTGAAACATACGGAGTACATGTGATTGACATTGCAGCTTTTACATAGTACCTTGTGTATGATAGCGGGGCATGGAGGGGTAACTTGAACTGAACAATATCCTATAGTTACAACATATAACTAACATACATACTGCCTAGTAACTATATAATTATAACGTATCAAGTAGAGAGAATAATGAAATAGAAACTCAACCGAATATCCATGTAACTTCATCGAAACCATCCGAATCAACCCCTATCCCACCTTGTCCACGCATCGGTGAACTGTTCTGGTAGAGTTGCGACGGAGAAATCACTTGCCGATGCGTTCATTCCCGACTGCGTCTACGCTAGTCTGTTTTGGGACTAGAGTGGGGGTAGCAAGGCCGGCAGCGGAATGACTCAGCACGAGGGCTCGCCCGAGGCTGCCAAAGTGCTTATGTCATAGCTGAGTCAGGAAAGCTTGATCAAATCATGTGACACAGCCCTCGCCAACGGCCTGGCCAGCGCATTCAGTAACCAAAAAAAGTCATCTCTCATTCCCATTTTTCATTAATTTCAACTCAGCGTAGTTCTTGAAGGCGCCCATTTATAAACCCCTCCAGCCTTCTTATAGTGATCATTTGCAAGCCCCGCAAACGTTTCGCCTCTTGCAAGTGCTCATCCTTCGGGTGCCTATCTCAAGCGTGACGTCTGGCGAATGACTGCGGCGTCAGTCAGGCCCTGAAGGTACGTTGCGGTTGCTACTTTGCATCTAGCATTCTCGTCTCTCGTGTCTCGTTTTCCTCGCTTCCCTATTTGGATATCCCATTCATCATGTCCCTTCCGCCTCCTCCAGGTCTCAACAAGACTCCCTCGTCTCTTCCGCCCCGCCCACCTCCATCCTCCAACGCCGCGCAGCCTCCCACCGCCAATTCTGCAAGCCATGGCGGTAGATCTCGACCAACCGGCTACAGCGCTTTTACGGCGTTCCAGCCGCGCGCGGTAGCCTCCAGTCAACCGCATCGCGCCAACACCCACTCGGTCTCGCGTCCGCCAGTCTCTGCTGCTGGATACGCAACCCCCACCAACAGCTACGTTAACCATTATCAACAACCTCAGGCATACCAGGGTGGGCCCTCCTACTATGGACAACCTCAATACGCCGAGACGTATGGCTCGACCGTCCCACACATTGCGAACCCCTTCGGGTCTACCCCCAACCAGGCCAACACAGGGTTCCCACAGAATGGCAACGCCCCCCGGCTTTGACGCAGAGACCGAAGCTCAAATTGCGCAGTGGCAGAGTGCCTACAACAAACCCACTGAAGATCCCACTAAGAACCAGCCCGGTTCAGGCGTGAACACAGGAGCCGGAACTCCAACCTTCGGCCCGGGAACTCCTGTCCCACAGCCCGAGTCACAAAAGACAGTCATTCGGTCTGGTGGTGGTGAGACATGGACCGACTCAACCCTATTGGAGTGGGACCCCGCACATTTCCGCCTTTTTATCGGTAACCTCGCAGGCGAAGTGACGGATGAATCTCTGCTGAAGGCATTCTCTCGCTACCCTTCGGTCCAGAAAGCGCGTGTCGTCCGAGAGAAGCGAACCCAGAAGAGTGCAGGCTATGGATTTGTTAGCTTTAGTGATAGCGAGGACTATTTCAAAGCCGGTCGAGAAATGCAAGGGAAATACATCGGTTCACACCCAATCTTACTACGCCGAGCCATGACCGAGGTTCGCCCAGCTTCGAACCCGAAGTATGGGAAACATGGAAAGAAACAAGGCAAAGGCAAGGGTCCGAAGGCTGATAACGCCGGTGGAGCAGGTGGGAAAGTGAAGCAGGATGGTATCAAAAAGCCAGCCAAAACCAAGGGAGGATTGAAGATTCTGGGCTAATTCTATGAATGTAATCGGCTGTTTATGCAAAGAACTATACTTTTCCATTACTATAGATTAACTGAATTTGAGATTTGTATCAAATCTGCATACGCAGCATGGATCACGTGAGTGCAGTTTTAGCCTTAGGCTTCCCTTCTCTAGTTAGTTGTTATTGCACCCATGGACTTGTACTTCCAAGATATTAAGTACAATATTCCATTAACAACCTTGAAACAAAATGCATCAATTCATTGTTATTCCTAGCCTCCCTATAATGCACATATACTGTACGGAGTATGCTGGGTACCTGGCCACAGTATGTGGTTAGTACATTGAGTTCCCCAGCCCCTCTAAAAGCACATGGCTGGGAGAGAAAAAAAAAAGTCCAGTTTAAAACCATTCACATTCCAGCTGACCCAATCTTCTTTATCTCTCCTTTCTCACATTCTTCCGATCTATAATCCCACTTTTCTTGAAAAAGGAGAGTTGTGTGTTGCGAACAGAGCTAGCCCGACGAAGCTATATACTTCCGTGTATACATATCCCACCCAACGCATTGCTGCCCACCTGCACACGGCCTACCACTTTGAATTCCACGCCTTGTACGATCTTACCTATCCTCCGATCGGATTGACAACAATCGAAGCTCTACACACATCTCACCAAATCATTTACCTCTCTACCACGATCTGCTGATCGTCTTCACCCAACATGGTTCAACGCAACATCACCATTGCGATTATCATCATCGTCCTCTTCCTCCTCCTTGCACTCGCTGGATTCGCAATCTGGGCGGTAAATAACCACATCTCACTCTTCCCCAAGAAGAAGGAGGCCGATGCGGAGAGTGCGGATGGGTGATAAAGGCAGGGTAGCAGTAATAAACACTGTACCCTTGACCTTGGCCTTGGGCTCTCTTGTTTTACAGACATTGATTGCCTCTTCTTCGAAACATACACACATACATACGATCACACACAAATATCCATGACCACGACATTTTCTGCGACACGATACCCTTTTTGTTGGCATCCAACGATATCTGCCACGATGACGAGCTGCGTTACGAGTCTTTTACGTTGAAACACGCCTTTTTTGTACACTTGTTGGCGATTGAAAGCAACCAGTACATATGTTGCTTTCGGTGTATGTTTATTTTTTCTCTTTTGGGTGTTATTTTTGGGTGGGGAGTTGGAGGGCTCTTTTCCTATGTCCTTTTCTTTCTTGGGTGTATTTGATGACTTCATTTGGTGCACATTCTTTGCGTATTTCTCCTTACGATTTGAAAATATCATAAATTGACAAAATTTCGAGGCATCAATCTATTTTTCACATATTACCAAAGCTGTATAAGAAGTGAATATCTAAAGGGTTTCCCAAGGACTGCCCCTACTTGTCAATCTTAAAAGTGATATGGTACACCCTTTTTGTGGCATATATAAGAGACGGAGAGAAGAAGGAAAAAGAAGGAGAGGGAGTCTATCTATCTACATGCCTCGACATAGAGGCCTGTAAAATTGATAGAGTGTTCTAGAGGGTGATCTGTTTAATATATTTCGTTATTGTAACAGAATCAAAGTTTCCGGAAGCAAAATTTGAAGACATTGAAGATACAGTGTACTAGGACCACTATGATTCCAGCAAATAGATATATCCCCACCCCGTTCCCCTGCAAAGTCAACTCCACCTAAAGCTTGAATGCAATTAGGTGGTAGCTAATGTGATGACCGAGCACATATAGAAGGCCTCCTTGTCTCTTTCAATTTCAGTTTCCTACTTCGCATCCTATTTTAGGCTCCCCTTTATTAAAGGCCTAGGATATTAAACAGAACCATTTCATGGTCTTGTCGCTCCAGTGCTGTGTAGATCCTCCTTATATGCCAACCCCTTCTTGATATCTCGATCCATATCTGAAATAGCATACCCCGGCGATGTCACAGGTGTACTGTGAACTGGGAGATGAGGAGTATTGTCTGGGTCATCCAGTGCACGAATATCATCACCGCCAGCGGTTCTTGCGTTAAATATTGTGGTATTCCGTTGAAAGTAATTGTAGCATTTCTCCACGGCTTTCCATAGAATAATTGTAACGGTCGCTCCGAGTACTGCACTCCAGAATCTCCCGAACTGATTGCACTCTGGATTGCACTCTGTCTTATCTGATGCCATCGTAGCGAAGTTGATACCCAGGTGTATTGAAATGGATGTAGAGGAAGACTTTGAATTAAGATTGCAAATATAGAGAGAAAGAATAAAATAGACGTTAGAATTACGTGGTATGTCATCTTGTGTTGGATGCCTAGGGCATCACTATGTGATAGAACCTATATAGTTTGATAGCTCTCTTTCCTTTCCTTCGCCTAGCTTTGGCCTGGCCGCCTGGATTAAGACTGGCAGAAGAATTAAAATACTGAATTACTATGACACTTCCCTTATTATGAAAGTAGCCTGATTTTGCTGGCGTTGACAACTCTCGAAAATGAAGCCTTTCATCAGCATACAAATGGAGATATCTCGCTTTGTATGGAGACGAAAAGCTTCATTTTCATTCCTCCCTTAGGCTAGCGGAACGACCTGGGCAGTGTAGGACTATTCCAAACTTTCTAACCTGAACCTCAAGGAGGTTTGTTGAGGTTCAACCCATATGAACCTACATGTGCATAACAGTCAAGAGAAGTACACATGCAACTTTTCACTAAATACAGTAAGCATCCTGGTATTAGCTAGGCACTTCTTTAACTACTATATGGCACTGTATGTATGTTGAGTCTAGGTCGAAAGCAATTTAATATGTATGGCAGACTAGGCATAATCTTGGAAGAGTCTGAGGAGCAAAGTCAAAAAATAGTTTAATGGTATTCAAGATTGTTGGCATCGCTTTTGAGACATTAAGATACAGAGTGGTCATCCAAAAATAAATATGTGCACCAGAGCTTTGAATTCTCGGGCGCCACACCAAAGCTGTCTATGATGGTGAGATAGTGTGCAAATAGGGTATTGAGAAAGTTGCCGTAGGTTCAAAAAAAATGCAGCCCTGAGATCAACACAGCAGCACCTTGCATAGCGCCTAATTGCTCATGGGAGTAATAAAGGTTGGTCCTGGTGTTCGGCAGTGGTTCGGCTAGAAGCGGACAGACTTGCCCGTGGGAAGACTCTACCCAATGAACGGAAGACGAAAAGACCTAGAGCATGGTTCGTAGACCTGGGCTAGAGACTTCTTGACTAGACAAGATTGTATAGTGTCAAGGAAATGGCACAAGAAAGGGCCAAGAATGGCAAGACATATTACATCTTGCGGAAAGTGTTGCCAGAAGCACTGCGGCGTTCCTTGGCCTTGAACGATGTGTCGGTCTTGTCGTAGCGCACTTCGGGGGCAGCGCGCTTCGGCTTCCCGGCAGGGTTGAAGCTCATCTCTTGCTCGCCGACTACACCAACCCGTCGTGCAGGCTTTTGTTTCGACTTCATATTCTGCGCACGGGAGCCGAAGGAGCGGTCCCGGGTGGAGTTGGCTTGATTCGAGGAAGACACTTGCATACGAGGCGGAGGCCGCTTCGTCCGCTTGTAGTCCGCAGAAGAAATCTTTTTGGAAGCTGCTGTCTTGGCGGGCTTTTCCGCCTCGCTGTCGGAGTTGGAGTCGGAGCTTGAACCGGGCACGTCGTCGATAGCTTCTTGCTCGACTGCTGTCAAGCCACGCTCCTTTCTCGAAGCTGATGGGGCAGCAGCTTGGGGAACCGTACTGGGGTTCAGCAGCTGGAATTCGCGTGAAGTCTCGTCAACTGCGAAATCTTGGTCCTCGAACAGCTGAGCGAAACGGCCACCGCCCAATACATTCTTGTCCTCGCCTGCAGAAGGAGTGACAGCAGCATCAGCCATTTCCTGGTCGCCCGAGCCTTCCACTAGGCGCTTGGCATGCTTGCGCTCCCTCTTCTCCTCCGCGTTCAGCATCCTCTCGGCCAGTCTCCTGTTCACCTTGACCGCAACCTTCTTCTTGCCACGGATCCGGCTCTCCCGCTCCTTGTTCATAATTTCGGCCACCTTCTTCGCTCTGGGGTTTTCTGTGTCGGGGAACAACCCGGTGATAGAGTTATAAACAAAGTTCGATACTTGGTAGCCCTTAGAGTAAGGTACCATCTTTCCGGACTGCATGTAGGATGCCAAATCAATGGGCTCTCCACCTGCCTTGATGAGCTTGGCGTCCCATTTGGCGACCTCTTCACTAGGCACAAGCGTGAAACCGGGCCAGACAGAACTAGACTGAGCAGACTTGAATGCGCTGGGGTCATTTGGATCCTCAGCCATCTCTTCAACTAGGTTGTCCAAGAATGAGCACCATTTGGGCGCGGGGCCAAGCTGTGGGATGAAGAATGAGTGTTGCTGTCGGCCTTCATTGGCTGTGAGGAGCATGCCGCTATCCTTGCACCAAGCAACAGACTTGAGATCCACAGCCGGTTCAACGGAGGTCCAAGGTTTTTGATCTTCGATATCCCAGAGCTTGATGATGCGCTTATCGGCAGAGAGCAATTTGGGTTCAATTGTCGCAGCTTGTGTTGCAGATGACTGCTCGAGGAATTGGAGGGTGTGAATAGGGAACCCGTATCCCTGGTCCTTGACCTGGAAGGGAACGGGCGAACGCAAGTCGTAGAGGTGAATAAGACCATTGGACGAGCCAGTCCCAAGGCTCATGCCGGAGCGATTGAATTCTAGAGCTGTGATCTCTGATCGCTCATCGTGTAGTCCAACTTGTGTGGGCGTAGAGAGCACACCCGCACGTCCCTTAGCTCTAGGATCCCATAGCTCAACTGTCCCCAGTGAAGTTCCGAAGGCCAGCAGATTGTGACTCTGCTCCGCAATAGCACCGGTGTTGACCGAGCCTGTGTTAATTCCACCTTGGAGAGTTCCGCCACCTGTGGATGTGAAATCGTCACCGCCGACGTCAACCTCAAAACTCCGCATGTATCGACCTAACTCCAAGTTCAATCGGTATACCTCTCCCATACCATCCTGGTTAACACCAACTGCAGGAACAAGCACTTCAGTCGACTGACGGTCGTAGACAATGTCACGCCCATACCGGGGAAGTCTAGTGGTGTAGTGACAGCCTGAGGGAGTGTGGAACTCTAGAGATCGATCAGACTGGAGGTGGAGGGATTTGGTGTAATCGGAGGACAGTAGGATGAAAGTGTTGTTGAGTGAACTTGTATGGCGCGCCCATGAAAGGGACAATTGCGGGAGGTAGTGGGTGTGGATTTGTGGCTTGTAAGTTCCTGCAAGAAATGGTGTTAGGGTGTGCGCTCTGAAGAACCGACGGGAATTATTGGTACGAACCTGTGCTCATAACCCATTCTCCATCCTCACTGACTCGCACACAGTGACTTGCTTCCTCAAATTCAAAGTCTTGCAGTAATTCAACTCGATTGGCATACTCGGGATCATTCTTCAAGCTGCGCTTTCGTCGTCTAGCAAGCCATTCGGGAAGCGGGCGAGCACTGTCTGATCCCGAGATGGTATATACCGGGACCTCGGATGGGTTGGACAGCTTCATGCTGGTAGATTCTGGTGTAGAAAAGGCCTAGCCAGTTCTTTTGAGGTGATCTGCAACTGATTTGCAACCTATCGGTGTTGGCGAAAGCGAATCTGCAAAAGATAAAAAAAAAAACCTGCGATAAAAAGCCGCTGATAGCGATCACGTGATAAACGGGCTTGGTGATTGGCCCGAGTGTCCCTGGCGAACGTCCCCCGGGATTACGCATTTCAACTTTCTGTTGACTTCATGCGATAAGCCTTGGTGGTTGAAATCTTTGCTATTTTATTTGGTGCGATTTCACTTAAGTGAGAGTGTTGTGCCAGACCTTCTAGTCTTTGTTGATCGTTTCCGCGCAACATGGTATCAATCAGCTAATGTACTCGTTGCTTGTTGATCTCCCTGCTATGCGCTTTCACTCCTTGCCACAGACCATGCACCCTGCGATTGGAAATGACTTCCAGAGTCATCTTCAAAATTCCTTCTATCTTTAAAGGCTTCCGGGGCTGTCCGCGACCGTTGAATTATGGACTTCCCTGGCGGCGCAAACACCAATATACATCTTATTGTGAGTTATCATAATCTTTACAGTACATTTCGCGTCCATGCTGACGCGTCGTATCAGGATGGATTCTCCAACATTTACTGGAGAATATACACAGAAGAAGCTGGTATTACAAATAACCCACAAGAGAGCCCCGCCAATGGCTATACTATTCTCAAGCACTTGAGTCGTCTCAAAGATCTAGAGGCTCGGTTGAGAGGCTTGAATTGTCTGGCCTCGTGCCCAAGACGCCTAGGGCTATGGGTGTTCTCCCCGACTCCCGAGTTCGAAAGCCTGAAACCTTTGTATGTGAGGGGAAGTGACGCAGAGTCAAATAGGATCGTCGTCGGCACAACAACCTTGAAAGGTATGTCTATGAACAGCTTACCGAGCTATTTCAGACCGTATTAATCTTATTTCAATAGTCTCTGCATTGGGAAGTGTCTCCTCGCTGGATTTAGTGAAAGGGCTGTCGTCCGACAACCAGAGTCAGCATGGCACACAACCCATTGGGCTGCCACGGCCACATCAGGGCCAACCGTCACCTCGGCGTCAAGATGGTTATAGCAGCTCAGCGGCCATTTATGCATCTTTTATATCTGCTGTCACTGGTTCAATCGGCCTTCAGTTGATTCGACGTCATGCTGCTCTACCCCTCGGATCACGCACCCTTTTCACTGCTGTCGAAAAGTCGGGATACGAAAGTCCTCATATCAACAATAACAACATTCTCTCCACTTCTTGCTTGACTACACTCAACATTCAGTTAACTATGAGTGGAACAATAACTGTTTCCGCCCAGACCATATCCCAAGCGGGTATAACACGACTGTGCAGTCCACACGAGGACATTTCCGAAAGAATCGACATGCAGCCTGGAATTGATCTTTGGCTATGCCCGAACGGGACTATCGCTAAGCTTATCACGGCTAATATTGACTCGTCAACCGTTCCGTCTCTATGCTACCCTGCCTCTGGGAATCTGTCTGCCAAAAGAGTACAGTGGAAATTGGATGTTGTGCAGTGGCTGCGGAATTTTGGGTTGCATATTGGCTCAATTGATGAAGAACCTTGGGTTGAAGTGGAAGTTTGGGAACCATTTTT